TCAAAAAGTGTGTACGGTTTTACATATACAATACATAATACAATACAATTCGGTTTCACCCACAGAAAAAAATCCGAGTGCCAAAGTGTGGACCGATTTATTTCTTAAATTTTCTTAATTTCCGGTAAAACGGAAAAGAAGCAAGCAAAAAATAAAATTCAGAAACAACTTCTCAAATCGATCACACCAAACCACTCGACTTTATGTAGGTGCCCCACAAATTGCAGAAAATAAATAGCAAAAATAAAAATTGCAACATTAACGAAATGATTTTCAATTATTCGGAGAGTGATGTGCTTTTTTTTCATTTGGTTAGTTTTTATTTACTTTGTTTTCGGCAACTATGGATTCAGTTGCTTGCATCAAATGTCTATATCAAAAAATCCATAGAGCATAACATTTAACTTTGATTTTGGCTGATATCGTTCGTATTATTATTATTTTCTTCGTTTCATTCAGTGTTCATCATTCACTTTGCAAATATAATTTCTTTTTATGTTGCTTTCTTTCACTGTGTTCATTCATTGCGAGAGAAAGACGCAAAAACTGCCTTTTAATTTTGCTGTTGTCTGTTCAAGGAACAACCATTAGTTTGTTTGTTTTTTGTCATAAATTTCATTTCCTCAAAATCGTTTGTTTTGATCGATGTGTTTAGTGTCATTCGACGCACTGGTCTAAAAATAACACGTCTCTTCCGCTCCTTATTCTCAATATCACTGGACGAAATGGGGGAGAAAAAAAAATTGGCGCCTGCCAATTCAAATGGGTGTTATAATCAGTTAAAGTTTAGAATCTTCCGGTTCGATCAATTCCGAAGAATTCGTGTTAATATTTATGTTGATGTTGTTTTTTTTTCTCTTCTTTTTTGCATAATATTTCTCACTGCAAAATGTTGAACTGAATTCATAACAAACGCGTCAGACACCACGCAATACAATACCACAGAAACAAACAAAAGAATAACCAAATCCAAAATAATTAAAATTGTGCACAAATAAGTTCCCATAAAAAAAATTATTACAATTCGTCGGTTTTTTCTTTATTATGTATTAGATTTGCTGTAACACAGTCATTTTTTTTCCTCTCCCGTTCGTCTGGTTGCCAAATTAATGAAACCACAAGTACACGACGAGGAGCCGATGAAGTAAAAAAAAACCTCCGCAAACGGTCCGTCCAAAATGATCAAGAATGGGGAAAAAAAAATTCAAAAACAAAAATAACTAAACCACACACCGCCAAAACTCTCGACTTCACTCTAGCTCTTGGCACTGCTTTTTTCTTCGGTGTTGCTTCCAAAAATTCGTAAACTCGACGAAATGAAAACAACAGCGATCGAGAAAAAAAATGTGTGTGTGTGTGTGTTTTACTGTGGAAATGAGATTCGTGTGCGCTCGTTGCCACTGTTGGATGTCAACTGCTTGGAGTTTGTTTGCTCCAGCAGCGCAAAGTATGCGAAAAAAAAGCACAACTAAATAAATCGCTATGCGCGCGAGAGATCGCAAACAGCACACAGAGAGCCGAACGGGCCTCTCTGAGCCAAACGAAGCGATAATACAACAATAAATGTGTGCGCGCAGTGCACACTCTTATGTATTCGCACCACATTTCGACAACAACAATAACAAACGGGAAACAGACCAAACGAGCTCGAACTGCTGTGCGCTCTTTCTCTCGTTCGCTCGCTACGATTATCGACAGAGGAAAAAGAGTTACAATTTTGCCGTGAACGAACAATAGCAGCTAGTGCGCGCCGAGAGAAGCAGTGAAATTACTGCAACTCTTTTCGCATTTTGTGCTTTGGCCACAAAGTGTAATGTCTTTAATTTGTGCGAGAATCGTTTCGAAGCGCGTGATTTTATTTTGCTCTTTTTTTTATCACTTTATACCACCAGCATGTGTGTGAATGAATTTTGTTCGATGCGCAACGGATGGAAATGCATCATATGTGCGTGATTTGAATAAATGCATGGAGATTTGTCGAAGCGAGGAAGAAGCAAACAAGTGTGGTGTTGAACGTCGCACCGTTCATTCATTTACATTCCGAGAGGTAATCAACGGGCCGGACCGGCCCAGCCATTGTTACAATTCGATCAACATGACAAATATTACACAATATCATCCTTGCAAATGCATTCGCCTATCGACAACTAAATCGTAATCAATGCTAAATTTATGGCTTTAATCGTTTCCGTTTATTGTTAGAGCTGCTGCTTCGGCTGCGGCGGCTGCAAAGCAGAAACGAAAAAAAAAACAAAAGCTAAATACTTGGCTATGATAACCGTTTATCTTGTTTCAAAACATATAATTATGTGATTTTCTGTTAACATATCGGAAATTTTCTGCAAATTGATCCAGAAAAAATTACAGCGTTTGGTCGATATACACCGACACGAAAAATGCATGGCATCAATAAAAACATTGAAACATTAACTGAATGGGTTATAAGCTCCCGTGATTTAAACTATGAACAACAGCGCAAAAAAATATATAACAAAATAGAGTGATAACTATAAATTACACCGGTAAAACATTTTGGCTTGAATTTGCCTATGTTTCGCGCATTCTTTGCGAGTCGAGTGGAGTCGAGAGCGTTGTCTGGCGCACACAATAGGTGCACTTTATTGAACTAACCCCACATCGAATGGGCTGCGTTTTGTGTGTGGATTTTCTTTTTTCTTCTTTTTTTTCGCCATTCTTTTTTAGAAACGATTTTCTTTTCATTCGTCGCGTAGAGTTTCAACTTCAAAGTTTGTGTATGGGCGATTGACTACGTAATCTCATTCGACGTGCTCGGCTTTTTTTTGTGTCGTTGTGTCCATATTGAACTGATTGTTTCTGTTCCGAGCGCACACAATGTGTAGAAAGAGAAAATCAACGGACAATGTAACAAAAAACACTCAAACATAATAATGCGCACGGTGCAATGCAAAAGTCAATCGATCTTTTTCACCGGCACACAGCTGAAATCGACACAAGAAACAACAACAATCTCAGAAATAACTACGACAGAAGACAACAGAAAAAAATTGTCACTCGCAATCTTTGTTTTCCAATTCAATGGTTTCGATGGTATTTTCTTATGCACGCGCTCGCTCAATCTATGCAAATCGTGCATTTGCCGTGTGATGCGTACACGATCACACGCTCGCTCCATTTCTACTTAGTTGCAGTTCGGTTGTGCGCTTTTTTCATCGTGTGTCTTATTGAAATGCAATAAAATTATTTAGAGGAAATTTGTCGGCAAATTTATTGCTTCGTTATGTGACATTTCTCTCGCTCTCGCTCTCACTCTCGTTCGTTTGTCGCATTCAGATGAAAATGTTACGTTGCATGATGCAAGTGCATTACTATTAAGTTACTTTTCAAAATTCCACGAAATAAACCAACGAAATGGGCATCTATTATCGTGTTTCTATTTCGCGTTCAGTTCAATTCAGATCGGACCATTCTGAGATTTTGGCTTAGATAATCTATGATAGAAATTCTATTTGCAAATTTGAAAATAAACACATAAATCACTGAGGCACAATGCAAAATTTTCTATTTTAGGTTCATTTGAAAATAAAGTTATTTTCTATTTCGAAACTCCGTAAACTGTAATTTTCTTCTCAATTTTGATCATAGTCATTCATTCTGTTACAAAGAGATTATTAAACTGTTGAAACGCTATAGATGGAAGTCTATCGAAATTAATAATCAACTAAGTATTTTTCATATGAAATTATTCTGATCATTTTTGGCCTTTATGAAGATTGAGTTGTTCTATGGAAATCCCAGTACTCACTTGATTACTGATGCGAGAATGCGCTTGTTTGTCATATCATGTGTGTCGAATGAGCTTCTCGTTAGCGACTTGTGGTTTTTTTTTGTCGCGCCACGCATTCAGAATACGCTCAAGGTATCGGTCAGTATCAATAGATCAGCGTCATTGTATCCGGAATCTATGGCCTTTGAAGCATGTCATCAGTAAATAACCGTATTCAAGAAGAAAACAAATGCGACTTGAAACGACCGACCTCGCCGAAATGTTTGGTTTTTGAAGTGCGCCCGCACTTCCATCGCTCCTTTATCAATTCAAACAAGTTCGCAATATTTGCGGTTTATTTCCATTGATACGTGGGAATTTAAAGAGTTCAAAAATCTGCTCCATGTTTTGGGTGACATGAACGATCGTGGAAAAATCCAAATCCACCCAAAAACAATGGGCTAATAGAAAACTTAAAATCTCAGACAGTCGCACGGTGACGGGTTGGAAAGCCTTATCAAAAATTAATGGTCTCGTTGTTATTATCCATGGAAACAAATCGTTTTCAGCCGTGCAAACCGTATAAATCGTTGAATCTTGTAACCTTTGACGGTCTTAAAAAGCAAAAGTAAATATGCACATTGTACTTGATATTTTATTAACCCAAAACCAATTGTGTGTGATGTGAACCATGCGCGTCATGTGTCTACTGCAGAAGCAGCAGCATCAACCACGATAATAATCCATCAGCCGCACATGAATTAGATGAGAAATGAGCAGCCACAACTCAAGCACTTTCTTCTAATGCAATGAGGCTACTGAACCCGCATCCAATTCAATTTAAAGAAACATAATTAATTAATTCTTCACTTTATTTCGTGCTCAACTTGACTGTTTCAAAGTCAAAAGAGTGATTTACGACAAAACGATCCGATATGAATGCCGATGCGCGCGCGCGCGAGAGAGAGAGAGAGTGTCAAAAATTGCACGGTGACTTTGAACCACTTGAGGCACCCAGCTGGAATAGAGATTATCAAGTGCAATCGTCATCATAAATGCGAGCATTCATTGTTGTATTATTTTTTTTCTCTCGGGCGTGTTTTATTTCTGCATCAATTTATTCCAATACGGAGCGACGGATGATATAAATGTGTGAACTGCTTTTGAAACGAAAATCATCCAAACAATAATCGTTACGATGAGTTCAACAGCTGTTTCTGTCGATTAAACGAAAAATCTACGACGATTTTTTTTTCACACAATAGAAAACGACCCAATGCGATTCATTCCATTGAAATGGTTGTCTTGGCTTACGGTTGTTGAGTTCATTTTGAAAATGAACTCGACAAAAATGGCAACCGTCCCACTTACTCACCGCAATAAAATGGGCATCTCCACTTACGCTTATAACTCTTTGTTTATGTCTACTACGATACATCTGTTGCTCATTTTTCTGCTCACCGCTAGCAATTGTCTGGTTGTCATTGTAAACGTCAAATCATACGGAGTTGTTTGTTTGATTCATTCCCAAAATTGATTGCTTCGTGTTGTGAAATTCACATTTTTATCAAAAATTTACCAAACCCATGAACGACATGCGATTCTCGGCGGATTCGGGGCACTCTTCACGAGACCAGAACAACAAAAGAAGCAGGTGAGTTATGAAAATGAATGAAAAAACGTGAGTTTTGTGCCATCAACAAATTGCTCAAGTCAAATCTTTGTTTTCAGGCGTCAATCGGATGACGATGACATCACCGAAATTATAACTTTGGACGCTGATTCTGATTCTGATACGGATTCATTGGAAAGTGTTTCGCAGTGGTTAAAACGAAAGCGACCGGAGAGTATTACAATTTCAGATGGACCAACTCCATCCACATCACAGGCATCACAAGTGGAGAATGAGTCGAAGGGAGAAGCGGCATCGAGCAGCACTGATAAAATATTAAATATGATAACATTATTTATCGTTGAGGATTTGCACACAACATCGATAGTAAAAGATTCGGGATTTAAAAAATTTGTCCAAACATTGAAGCCAGATTTAGTGTTGCCCACCCAAGATGATATATTGAACAATATTCTGTTGCTGTACGGGATTGAACGTGCCAATTTGCTTATTTTGTTGCATTCAGTGGATGCCATTTCAATTGCAATCGAACGATGGACATCGTTCACCGACAACACATACGCAACAATCAAAGCGAATTTTATAAACGCTGATTGGGAACCACAATCTTACGTGCTGGCCACCGTTCAACTGGGCGACACAAATTCATTTGCATTACTGAACGACAAAGTGTTGGAAACGTTGAAAATGTGGGAGATTGAGAATAAAGTGGTGTCAACGGTGTACGATTGGTATCGACCGCCGATGGATTTCTTAGCGCCGGGGCAATATCAGGAATTGGGCAAGAAAATGTGCTGTTTCGCACTAAAGCTACAAACGGCCATTGATAACAGTTTTAACAGTATCCCAGAGATAAAAGCAATCATAGATAAGTGTAAGCAACTGGTTGCCTATTTTCTACATAATAATGTTGCCGAGATTTATCTGCACAAATACCAAAATTACTTGGAGCTATCGTGCGATCAGTTAATCCAAGCGTCGTCAGATGATATAAATTCCACATATCTAATGTTAGATCGGCTATTGAGCCAGAAACTTGCGATAAATTCAGTGCTTCGAGACGAAGATGCTATCGATGGTACAAGGGCGACGGAGCTGCAATTGGATGACCCTGAATGGTTGATAATCAAAGAAATGGTCGCCACATTGAAGCCATTTCAATTGGCAAAGGTTGTGTTGTATCGGGTCAAGGATCACATTGATTCAGTTTCAGTGGTGAAACCAATGATTCATTCGTTTTGCACCAATTTCCTTTCGGCCAACAATGAAACGACACCGGTGCGACTGTTGAAGCAACGGATTAGAGAAGATCTTCTGACAAAATTCCAATTATACGTGGGACAAAATGAAATGACGGCACCAGACTACTTTGATTTGGCCACCTACTTGGATCCACGGTATAAAAACCAAGAATACATGAGCAATGAGAATCGAGAAACCATCAAACGCTACATTCACGACGTTTATTTTGCCAAGAATGAAAATAACGCATCAAAATCATCGAAATTGTCGATGTCATCGAAAGCATTGAGCATACTGTTCCCATCGGCACCGAGCGAAACGGCAAACGAATGCCTGCGCTATCACAACGAATCGGAAATTGATAAAAATTTATGGTTAAATACAATTTCGTCTATAAAAAATGACAAAAGCGTCTAAAATAAAAACAATTTCGTCTAATGAAAAATTGTTACTTTTTTTTACAAAATCGTCTAAAAAAGTGACAAAATCATCTATAATTCTGACAATTTTTTTAATGACAAAATCGTTGTGGAAATCGACAAAATTGTCTATATTCACAATTTCCGAAAAAATGACAAAAACATCTAAAAACCTCCAAAAACGTCTATGGACAAAACGCGTATTAAAAATGACAAAATCATCTAAATTCGCAATTTCCGAAAAAAGTGACAAAATCGTCTAAAAATCTCCAAAAACGTCTATGGACAAAACGCCCATTAAAAAGGACAATATCATCTGAAAATCTAAAATTTTTATTCCAAACTATTTGAAATTCCAATACGTTTTTGTTGACAAAATCATCTTTATTTCTAATCGTCATATTTACGTTACATTTATCAATGTATTGTACATTGTGGGTTGTTTTCTTTGATGGTTTTCTTATGACATGACAAACCGTCTGTAATTTTGATTGAAGTCATCAGCAGAGTTATATACTCGATTTTTGTGCCCAATTTTTACCTGTACCAATTGCCGATTCTTTTCGAAGAAGGCACTGATGTTAGATTTCTCGAACATTTGCTCTGTGATGAGCTCGAACTTGGTTAGGTTTGGGAACCGTATTCGCAGACAGGTGCCAGTAATATCACCAAAAGGCTGTGACAATCTGAGACCTCGTAGGTTTCGGCAATATCTGAAGGTATTCACAATGTTGTCGCCCATCTCGCACATGATCAACTGAAGTATTTCGATGTGCGGAAAAAAGTGGTTGGAACCATCGAATATTCCTTGTTGTAGTTGGAATTGTATCAATGCCAAACGACGTAATGAAGGACAGTTTCTTATGATAACATCCAGAAGTCTGACACTCGGTGCATTGAATGACGCTGAATCGATTCGCAAGCAATGAACGCTCGCACCAAAAATCATCAATAGGCTGCGGAGCTTATGCAATGATACGGTTTCTTCACGTGTGAGATCAATCGTTTGATGCTTCTGCTCGAAAACTTGAGCAGCCACTTTTCTGAAATTCGTGCACGTGTCATTAAGGGCAACAAAATCAAAACATGGCAAATGTTCGAGAATCTTAGCCACAATCTCATCTTGAAGATCCGTAATATGCTTAGACCAATGAGGGGTAGCAGCGACGTTCAGCGTGTCTGCTTCATCAACTGGCTGAGTCCAACTGTCACCTGGACTCACTTTCATCTGGTGGCCGGCTACAGTATGTAGCTCCTTAGTCAAACAGGCAGCGGCACTACTTGCTGATTTGTATAAAACTGTACCAGAGGTATATCGTGATCGCTTCTTAAACGAAAAGTTTTCGATTTGTCCAAAGGTTTTGAAATGAGTTTTCATTGCACTGTTCAGTATCTAAGAATATGAAATAAAATATTTTTAAAATTGTACAAACAATACAGTATGAAAATATTCACATTGACTGTTTGCAAATGAAAAGAAACTCTCCGAATAGGGATTCCGTCTTCGGTATATGAAATATCAAGTTTTTCAGTATTTGACATGATTTCCCGTGCTTTCCAACGATTTTTTCTAGTCGTTTTCACTTTTTTTTACACAAACAATTTTTTTCTATCTTAACTTTTTTATTAAAGTGACAACGGTGTCTTCTATGTGATTTCGAGCCAAGAAAGCAAAGAAGATCGAATAAGTACAGTCGAACAAGCAATTTTCATTCATGAAAATGTAGAGAGCATCACCGATTTTGACATTTATATCGATCAAGTACACCAACGTGTGTATAAAGTTGTTTTACTTGTTGATTGGAAACGTTCTACATGTTCTTGTCCTTTCTTTATGAAAAATGTAATATGTAAACACATCGTAGGGATAGCTCTCCTATGTAAGCAAACAGGAGTTCCGGCCGATTGCAACCCGCAAGTATTGGCAAAGAAGCCACCTCGTGGGCGGCCAAAGAAATCCGCACCAGCCCTCCAGCGTATGTAGTAGTCAATTTGTGTTGTGATAGAAAAAGCAATTGATCGAAATTTGTTTCTTTTTAGAAGTAATAATAAGAATTAAGTTCTGTGCTCCATTCACTGAGTGTCAGTCGAGCAAAAATGGGGAATTGATATTTTGAACAAACATTTTCTTATAAAAATACAACTATACGAATTTGTAATTATAGAAATGATTTTGAAGCAAACAATATATCACAAAAAATAAATACGATGGTGTTTTTTCTAATTAAAGAAATATTTTGTGTCCATTTTTATAGCAAATTTGTTAAGAAAAAAGCTTGCCTTGCGAATTTAGATGATTTTGTCATTTTTAATACGTGTTTTGTTCATAGACGATTTTGTCACTTTTTTTCGGAAATTGCGAATTTCAATGATTTTGTCATTTTTGATACGCGTTTTGTCCATAGACGTTTTTGGAGATTATTAGACGATTTTGTCACTTTTTTCGGAAATTGCAAATTTAGATGATTTTGTCATTTTTAATACGCGTTTTGTCCATAGACGTTTTCGGAGGTTTTTAGATGTTTTTGTCATTTTTTCGGAAATTGTGAATATAGACGATTTTGTCGATTTCCACAACGATTTTGTCATTAAAAAAATTGTAAGAATTATAGATGATTTTGTCATGTTTTCGAGAAAAAAATAGACGATTTTGTTATATTTGTAGATGGTTTTGTCATAGACGTTTTTGTCATTTCATTAGACGATTTTGTCAATTTTATAGACGTTTTTGTAAGCAGCCAAAATTTATCACCGCAAAAGTGGTGGAAACTTAATGAACGACGATATCCAACACTATCTACGGTGGCTAAGCGACATTTGTGCACACACTCCACATCCAAATCCATTTTCACATCACGCAATGCATCACTTCGACGCAAAAATCTATCACCACAAATTGTTGATAAGCTCATTTTTCTTAATCACAAACTCAAATTTGATGTTATTTAAATCTGAATTTTATGATCAAGTCTTTCATTTCTTCGTTGTCAAGCATCAATGAAATACATTTCGAAGGAAATTAAAATTAAAAAAAAATCAAAGTGTTTTTATTTCAATAGAGGTTATCAGATTAGTTATCAATTCTATTTTTATTTTTTTCGTAAAACGTAAGAATGTATGCTTTTCAGACTATTTCCAGACGTGAATTACGAGTAACTGAAGATAGAAGAAAATTGTCATCCGTAAATCGTAGCATTTACGCCTGAAAAAAGTCTGAAGAAACATACATTTTTTCATGTCTCGTGAATAGATTTGTAGTCCTTTCTTGGGAATCGGTTGTAAATTGTTTTCTTCGAAATTGTTTGTTGTTGATAACTAAAATAAAATCATTTTCTGATAAAACTAACGGGAACGTTTCTTATTTTGATGCTGTAGAATTGAAGAAGGAAAAATGATTAAAGCGTGACTCAACAGAGAACTGTGCAATAGAACTGTAATTCCTTAGATTGTAAAAACGACAGCATCACATCCCAAGAGAAACGGCCAATATGTTTATACGCTGTCTATCTGCCGAAAATACACTACAATATATATTCACGCTTATTGGACGCCGAATTGAATATATATTCTAGTGTATATTCGGTGTATTCTTCAGCGTGAAACATATTGAATCAATGAATGTATTCATGGCCACCAGAGGGCACCTGAATATGTTTCAATATGTTTCACGCTGAAGAATACGCCGAATATACACTAGAATATATACTGAATTCGGCGTCCAATAAGCGTGAATATATATTGTAGAGTATTTTCGGCGGATAGACAGCGTATAAACATATTGGCCGTTTCTCTTTGGATGTTTCAGCAATATTTTGTAACATATAATCGAGCATTACGAATTGAGCCGAATGTTTCTTTTTTGATTGAATATGATGAATATGAGACGCACGTAAGCAAGTATCACACGATAATATCGCCATATCTACCTCATGCGATATAGAAAATATGCGCTTTGGACACATTGAACAATTTTGTAAGTAAGTCAGTAAAATATACTGTAAAAAACACAATCTGTTTTTTTAGGATTATTTTTGTAATTTATAGGACGATTTTTGGGTTTTTCAGGATGTTTTTCGTTTCACCCTACCATGGTGATGAGCATATGAATCAGAACACTGTATGCTGAGAAAAAAGAAACAGCGAATAGTTACAAGATCATTTTTTCTAATGCATTATCAACACATATGGCATTCATCAAGCTTCTGCTGAAAATAATCAATCTCATATTTTTCAATTCTCCGAAATGCCCATGAGGATCGGAAACGTTTCTGTTTTTACTTTATACTATACCAACTGATTTTTCTTATCACTTTTTACTCGCATGCTATGTAGAAAATACTGCATATAAAAACGGCAACATTGATTCGAACATGATTCAGTGTACTTTCAGAACAGTTGACAGCTAACAACATTCTATCTCCAGCGGGTGAGTTGATTATTCAATTTCGTGGAAATTTTCACATTTCAAACTGAAAGTCCTCATGCAACATGCAAATGCATGCACGTATATTTACTGGTCAATTCGCCATTATGGTGGTCGAACATGCAACCAATAATTGAGTCAATCGTAATTTCCGCTTTGAGTTATAAAATCGTTGATTACTCTTTCATGTAAATCAAATGATGGCAAAAATGGTTACCAGTCATTTTGCATGAAGAGAACAAAAAGCCACTAAAATTTAACTAATCAGCTGTACATTCAAATTTAATCTCATTTCAATTTGATTAAATTTTCAAATTGATTGAATTTGAATGTACGGCTTGGAATTGGTGACATGAATTTATTTTGGTTGAAAACTCCCTCATTACTGAATTATTTATGGAATTTCAAAAACAGAGGGTTACATTTTTTTAACAAAAAATTAAGCGGCTTTATTCAATGAATATTCATTTCTGGTGTTAAAATATAATGGAATGATTTTGGGGTTGGAAATAAATTTCCCAGCTATTGTGATTTTTTTTTGAATTTTTCGAACAATGCTTGTCCAACAGCAACATCCTCGACAGCCATACCTGTTTCCGATTAGAAAAAAAAATTCAATAAACAGCGTCGAAATAAAAAAGCACCGATTTTCTATCGTTTTTCAATTGAAAACATTTTTGTGATGTAATTAAAATCACTTACCCATCGAATGGAAAATAGTAATTCCACCTGCGGGCGCTGTACTCCGACCGTTAATTATGTCTCCAACTTCACACACAATTGGTGCGATTAATGTTTTCAATTCGGAACGAGCGCCATCGTTGCTATCCACATAAATTTTCGTGTCTGGGTCAGTGTAAATGTCTTCGCTCAACTCGTTATGATGATATTGACCAGCACCGACCGCTACGATTAATAAGGAAATTGTCAATTAATTGCTCACAAGTTTAAAACTAAACTTTTACATTTAATTACCGTTGATGTGCACATTCGTTTTGATCATTGACCGGAACAAAAATGGGGTACTTGTAGATGTACCAGTTACAATAACATCAGCATTCTTAGCACCGTCCTCAACCGTATCGACGCATATGATTTTAATGTTCGGATTTTTGAAACTTTGTCGCAACTGATTTAATTCAGCGGCAAGTGCCTCGGCTCGACTTTTTGTTCGGTTCCATAAATGAATTGTGTCAACGGAATTGGTTGCACACAAGCCAATAGCATGAATTCGACCCTGTTTAATAGATAAGATTACAACCAATTAAAACCAGCTAATTAGTTGAAAACATTAACAATGTCGAGTGACAATTTGCAGAAATACCAAAATAATTCAATTACCTGAACACCACACCCAAATATAGCAACAGTATCCATTTTCGGTGATGATGACCGATTGCTAAACAGATACTTGGTAGCAACAAGTGACGCGGCAGCCGTTCTCCATGCCGTTATTTCACTGGCCTGTACGATTGCTTTCAATTCACCCGTTTCCTCACTGAACAAGAATATATTGCCTAGAATGTTGGGCTTTGGCGGATTTAATTCATGATTCCCTTTGAAAAATGTCACAAGTTTACATCCAAGTGAATTGAACACCTTTGAATCATTTAGATTTTTCAATTTATAGTTGCCGATAAATCCGGGCATACACAGAAGAGTGCCTGTTTGATAAGAAAATATGAGGGAATTTCAGTGAATGTGGACACTGGACACAAATGACGTTTTTTAAAACGATTCTGAGATTTTCTTTCTTTTAATTTTTTTTTTCTTTTTCATTCCTTATCTTCAAATTTCATTTTATTTCAATCTTTATCCAAATTCATATCAAATTTGCTGATTTTTTCCTATAAAATTCGTTCAAAGTTAAAACGTCCAATGAATTCAATACTGATTGTACCTTTTTCAATGGGTGTGAATACTCTAGTTGGTTGTTTTGCCGTCGGTTGATCTTCGTTCACTTTGGTTTCGCAAATTGATCGAAGTGATTGTTCCACCGCATCGCAAACCAGTGGCCAGTCCAACAATTCCAACACTTGTTCTTCGCTTAAATTTATCACCGACATTTCACGCTTCGTTTACTTTCTAAAACCAAAACAACAACTGATTGAATTCACTGTTTCGATTCGTCTTTTTATTGTAAAATTTTATCTTCTATAATTGAATCTCAAAAGAAATGCGATGACACAAATCTACAGCTGGCTGATTGTGGTTTTTGCAAACAAACCAAAAAATAATCGAACCTCAATATGTTGGTCATAACAAATTGTTGTTTCCGATTGATCATTGTATGAGTTCCCACCAAATCACATTATTGTTGCTCTCACCGAGCGTCGCAAACCGTTTCTCAATGTATTTGAATGGTGTTGCTTAATCCCACATGCTGTGCTCATTTGAATACAACGGAATCTACTATACACATAAGCCGATTACAACCACATTAATGTGTGAACAGCAACAGTTGTTGTATAGCTGAAAATTTCAATACTTTGTCACATTTGTATCTCTGCTTGTGTGTATGTATGTGACAGTGTAAACGATTAACAGCGTGTGCCGCTACAGCGTCAACACGTACATATAACCAATATTTATAGGAATTTTGTTCAGTACTTAGCCGACAGTAACACGTTATCGTTCGCCAATATTTACGGTAAACATTTTCATCATCATTCAATTAGGTAATAGCTAGACAAATAACAACACAAAGTCATTCAATACTTGCAATTCGACTGTAACATCAGTTTATTTTTCAATCGGTAAGTCAAGTGGAATGAAATTTAGCTAGTGACTCGTGTGATTTTTGTGAAATAGAAGTTGAATATTGACATTCATGTAAATCAAACAACAAAAACTCAAGTAAATATTGTAAGAGATCATAAAAACTTTATGAAATATTCCACATTCTAATGGAAAATGAACAACATCGATATTTAAATAGAAAAAAAAATCCAGTTTTGAATCTCAAAAGAATGAAAAATTCAAAGTTGCGTGATTCTAAAGTGATATTTTTTTCGAACAACGCAACTGGATAAATGTAAAGCCGAAACGTTCACTGTAATAAGCAACAACGACAAGGCCGCACCGTTGTATTCTATTTTTTTTTTGTATAATTTTAAACCCAGCAGATTTTAACATTCTCATTGGAGTTTGGGTTTTTGTTTTGTGTTACTTTTGAATCCGGTGATGATGTCATTCTTCACACAGAAATTTATCATTTGCCTCATATTTGATTCTACGAATTGAACAACTTGCGTCCGAAATTTTACAATTTAGTTCAAAGTACGTTTTTTCGGTGAATTTGTTCTACATACGAAACTCATCATCTCGTGAATAATCAAACTTTAAATTGCCCCATTGACGATTGACATTAAATTGAAACCGTATGTCAAATGCAGAAGAATTGAAGTAATCAAACATTTTAGCATACTGTTGACTGCCCACAGTAAAAGACTAAACATACTTATGGTTGCCACGTCTAATAGAAAAGCTACGCCGTATGCGAATGTTTTTTTTCTTTCAAATTTCGGCTTTCTCTTTTGTTCGTACGTCACTCGGTTTCGTTATGTTTCGTCAACATTCGATAAGCGGGTCATTCACAGAAAAACAAACCTCTTAGTAAAGTTGCCTGAACGACTGAAACTTATGCAAACAAGCCTTTTGCTACATTGTGTGGCTGAAAATTCAGTCAGATAAAACACACATACGTCGAGTAAACAAAATGAGTTCTTGGAATAGTATTAAATCACATTACTGAGAATTGAGCACATACATTCACGTCGAATGATTCGTCCGAGTTGTGAAGACTCATATTTAGACAAACAAAAATGTTAGCGTGTGTTTAATAAGCGTTTTTTAAGAGTCTGAAACACAATTTTTGAATGCTTTGCGGTAGAAAATTTCGAATACTCTAACCGACCGACCCGCCGCCGACCACTTTATATCAACAATTCAATTAATTTGAGTAATTTGTTTACCCTACATTTTGAGTCATCGGCACTTCTAAATTAGATAAAAATGGCATTACGAACATCTATTGTTCACTTCGTAATACAATCGATATGAACATGCTAAAAATAAATTGACATAAAAGTGATGAATGACAGAAATACGAATGAGTGTGTGCTGATGACGTGAGCAAAACGTGTGACTTGCATATGAAATCAAAAAGGGAAAAAAACCACGTAAATACGTGTGTAAATAGTGCGTCATCAATTTCAGCATCAGTATATCAGTGCGTGCACTTGATTACGCATTATCTTACCAATTTGGTTGAGCTCATGAGCAATTCCTCTTTCGACTTAAATGATTCATGATTTGAAACGAGTGCACTTTGTTTCTACTTGATTGCACCATTCCAAGCACATGTGAACTCGCAAAGTGAAAATAGTTGTCGGTTTTCAGTAGGAACGGAAAAAAGTGTGCAAAATCATGGGGGGGATTTTTTTCCATACATACTACTACGTGTCTAGTGCCTGCTGGCGCCGGCTTGCTTAATGACACACTGTGTGTTGTGTCTGAAACATTCACACACACATATACCTTTTTTTGGTAAACTGCGGAGCGGCACAGTGTCATTGTTTACAAAATGAATGCGAACTAATGTCTGGCATGGGATTTCGGCAGTCGCATTACAAATTATATTGGCAAAGGTTTTTGAATGCTAGAAGTATAGACGGCTTTTATCAAAACAGTCATTTCATTATTTTCTCTTTTTTTTAGATTATTTTTTCTTGACATTCATCGCAAAGCAGACATCAACAAAATGAGTTATCCATTTGTAAGTATAGCACAAAACGTGAGTCATTTTCATCAATAAGATCAACTAACACTTCATAAGAACATAAATGAACCACTACGATTTGCATTGATCGACAAAAGCGATTTTCATTTATGGAGTCTCATTCACGGACTCTCGTTTACTCCAAATAAATCCTCGTGTAAGCCAAGAAAAAAAAACCAAATCAAACATTCCCGTTATTGGTTTGATACGTTTCGTACGTAAATTTTTCGGGATTTGCGTTGTGTGTGCGTCGATTAAATTAGATAATAAATTGGTTGGGTTCGATTCCAATTTTAAGTAGCGACTACGAATACCAAAAAACCCGCCAGTCAATAAATAAAATGCGATGAGCTAAATAATTGAATCAAGAATGAACATCGAAGCAAAGCACATAGCCCAACAAGTGCTTTATCCACGAGCACTTGATTGATAAGAATTGGTTAATATGAGATGTAGTTTTTGTGTGTTGGTGATGGGATAGCATAAGCAACTCATTTGCAAGTGTACAAGCACTTGAACTAGCCCGAAAGAAAGATGAGCGACAAGAGTCGTTTCATCGCATGATTTATCAATAAATTTAATCTAATAAAAATACTAACGATCTCCGAGCCCATCAGCATTTGTTAGCGCTGTATTCACGTCACTGGGCATCAGTTGAATCGTGACTCGCGACAAACGTGGACCATTTCTGTGTGCTATCAGTGATTAGCTCGTTTGTTCTTTGCTTGAGAAAATAAATTTTGATTTTGTCGTCGTTTCCATATCGTTTCCGATCTCAGTGGCAATAAAACCGAAATTGAACCGTTCATTCGCAATTAATTCCATATCGTCGAAAATGGATAAATATCATTATTACATTGATTGTGGTATGGATAACGAGAGCCCAAAATGTGATTTAATATTGAAACACAATTTTGCTTATTGCTACAGTGCTTATATTTGTGTTGTTGTGTTATTATATTGTACATTTTGTGCTTCTAATGTGAAATTGCGTTTAAACTGGATTTATTTTCTGTTGTAGGGCTCGGGCATGCCATCACTTCCAAACTCGAACTCGTCACCTTATCCTTCCTATCCAAGACAAACAAATCCATCGATGCCAATGCCTGGCTATCCAGCACAAGCGATGCCACAAGCTCCACCATTCGGAGCTGGTTTTGCACCGCAACCGTCAAGTGCATATCCAAATATGCCACCGCCTAGCGCATATCCAAATATGCCATCGATGCCCATGCAAAATGCCTATCCAAGCATGCCACACCATGCGCCTCCAAGCGCCTATCCAAGTGCATATCCGAGCTCTACAACAGTCTATCCACCATCAAATCCAAACGCATCACATATTCCAAATTCACATGTTTTACCTCCTCAACAACAAGGTTATTCGGGTTATGGTTATCAACAATCGTCGGGTCCATCATATCCAAATGTTAGCAATATGGCAGCATGTTTTTCACAAATGCAAGGTCATATTAAGGATGTTCGTCGGTCCAAGGTTTGTTTTATACCCATCATCACAAACACATAATATTAACACAAAAATTCCATCCCATTCAATTTCAATGCGTGTTGTTCATTTGCATTTTATCGTTTTGAGCGAATAATAAATAAACGCAATTTTCTATTTATATATTGCGACTCGAGCTAAAGAATAAAAAATTCTATATGGCCAAAGCGAATTATTTCACTTCAACGCAAGGCACACAGAGAAAATTTTAAACATTACATATATACTTACTACACGCAGAGCGACACAAACCACAACCATATAAACCAAGTGAATTAACCGTTTATATACATGACATATCTCGTTCAAATAAATTGCCTAAATCATCTTATGGACGTTTTAAGTGAAGCAAATTGACATGTATTGTCGCTGTGGTCAACAGTCACTTTTGTATAAATACTTGCTCATCGCTCAAATCAAATTAAAGACGCAAAATGGAGAATATAACGATTTTTTTTTCTTCCCTTTCCAAATGTGAATATATAATTGAATGAGAGAGATATTATTTCGAATTAGCAGGTTTTTACTTGACATTAATTTTTTTTTTTGGTTTTCATAGGGAAATCCAACGTTGGTTCCAGCCCAGAGCTTCGACCCAGTTGTCGATGCACAGGCATTGCGAAAGGCAATGAAAGGATTTGGTACCGATGAGGATGGAATCATTAACGTTATCTGCCGACGATCAAATGAACAAAGACAAGTATGTGATTTGAATTTTTTCGTTGATTCAATCAATCTCCTAATTAAGACTGAATACTAATTGGTTGCTCAATTCTTTTGCACAGATCATTCAACGTACGTACAAAACCAATTTCGGAAAGGATTTAATTGAAGACATTCGCTCCGAAACCAGTGGAAACTTTGAGAATTTATTGGTGGCTTTATTGACACCAATTGTCGACTTTTACGTCAAAGAATTGCACGATGCGATGGCCGGTATCGGTACCGACGAAGATGTTCTTATCGAAATGCTGTGCACAATGTCCAATTATGAAATTCACACTATAAAGCATGCTTACGAAAGAAGTGAGTTTTATCCTAACAAAAATTTCATCAATTTTTCTTTCTGTATTTTTAAGTATTTAGAAGTTTCAAAAAATTTATAATTTATTTAGCTCAATTTCATGTTTTCACAATGTTTCACATAATAATTTTCGTTATCGTTGGTTCGTTTATATGTTTTTTTTTCTGCTCTCGTGACAGTTTATGGCAAAAGTTTGGAAAACGAATTGATGTCGGAGACTTCGGGCAATTTCAAACGGCTTTTGGTTTCATTGTGCGCTGGTGGTCGCGACGAAAGTGGTGTGGTCGATCATGATGCTGCCACTCGTGACGCAACTGAACTGTTACGTGCTGGTGAATTGCGGGTTGGCACTGATGAGAGTACATTCAACATGGTGTTCTGCCAACGCAATTTTGCTCAAATCAAACTGGTGAGTCTTTTTTTTTTGCTGTTGTAATAACAACTTCGATGAAATATTCTATGTCTGTCCTTCGATAATACTAGATGATTCTAGTTCAAAATTATTCGATTGAACAGCACGTTTCTGTATATATTTTTTATATGTATGTTTCAATCAGTTTATCTAAAAATTGTGAAAATATTTTCAGATTTGTGAGAAATACCAGCAAATGACGGGCCATGGCCTCGAGAAAGCAATCAAAAATGAGTTCAGCGGCGATATTATGGATGGTTTGATTGCAATTTTACAGTGCACCACAAATAAAGCTGAATTCTTTGCCAGTCGCTTGCACAAAAGCATGGCAGGCATTGGAACGAATGATACGCAATTGATTCGTTTGATAGTGACCCGGTGTGAAATCGATTTGAACGACATCAAAGTCGCTTTTGAACGCTTGTACGGCAAAAGTTTGCGCAGCTGGATAAAGGTCATTATTTGCACAATAAATATTATTTTTATGTCCATGAAAGCACTAAAACCTAATGAAATGTTTAAACGCTTTTGTTCTAATTTTTTTTTTGCAGGGGGACACATCAGGTCATTACAAGCATGCCTTGTATGCACTCATTGGTGAAAATCGTTCATCATAAATTCAAACAGTTTGATTTCATACGGAACAAAACAATTTATATGTTAATATCACAATCTTTTTTCATTCTATTTCAATCTTTGATATATATTTTAACACTCCAAGTATTTTGTCGTACAAAAAGTGTAATTTTTGATAATGAAAACAAAAATTCAGAAGCGAAAAAACACATTCAAAATTTAGCGATAATTGAAATGGTACAAGAACCTATCTGTTTCAGCACAATCCATTATTAAATTCATAAATGTTTGTCGATTTATATTTCTTATATTCAATTTTAAATTTAAAAAAAGGCTAATATGAATACAAATACCAACTTTATTATTCACTTTATCCTTTATCGTATTTTACTTCATGTTTCTTATTTGTTTGATTTTTATATTTTCTTAATCATTTCTGTATGAGACGTTTTTCTTCGCATCATCAAGAATAAGAGAGGAGAGAAAAAATTCGATGGAGACGGTCGAAAAAACGTTATGCTTCACATTTGATAAGCAAAGTGAAATAAGAACAGCGTTGTGTCCTTGATATAATTCAAGTGTAATGAGTCATATGTGTGCTGTGCTCTCTCGGGTACTTTCACATCGAATAACAATGGTTTGCATTGTACGACAGCGAATGCTAATTGAGTCACCAGACACAATGTGCATTAAATAAATTAAGTTATATTACAATTTTAATCGTGGCCACACACGAAAACCGATGATGCCATTGCACATCACTTCGAACTCGACCACAAACTCATCGTTTGGACTTGAGCCCAACCAAATCGCGTCCAGATAAAATGATCATGAATTAATTCAACCAAAAGAAACTGATGGCAGGTAGTAAGAACTATGTTCGTATATGAGTCAGCTTTCAAACATAATCTTGCCTTAATCTACAACAAATTACATTTATTCAAGTCGAAAGAGCCATTCTTATTGGTCAGCATGCAGTCAAAAAAAAACCAAAGCTGAAAATTGTTTTCGGTTCTCTCGAAAATGAAAGAAGAAAAAAACAAACCATGAATGAGTTCTTGTCGGTTTAAAGAAAAGTCATCAAATAGCTTCATTTGGTCGAAAATTGATTTATGTTGTTTCAGGTAAGTTCGTTGTGTTTGGTCTCGAGAATCATTCGGTGATAAGTAGAAAAACTTTACTCAAAGCTGTTAATGTTCAAATTAAAAGACAGAGAGAAGAAAAAAACCGATAGACATTAAAAAAAACCAAGCCCCTGGCGTTAGCGTTAAAACAAATAATGGAAAAATAAACACACAATTTTACGTAGAAACGATTTCAGTGTATGCACTGCTCCCTCTCTCTCTCACACACAGGAACAACGAACAGAAAAACAGATACCAACGACTTACAGAGAAATGAAGCGCACAGGCGCTTCTCCAAAGCATAATGCAAAAGGAAAGACGGAAAAAAGGAAAGAACGAAGTAGGAAAAAAAAACACTCGGAGAATGCTATGTTAATGGGATAGAATGACTAACGAGGTACAAAAAGACAGAAGAGAGAAAAAAAGCGGAACAGAAAAATCTATGCAAAGAGAGCCAAGAGGAAAGAAAAAAGAGAAGCAAACGGAGCAGCAATGTTTTCGTTCAATCGTTTGTTTGTTGGTTGGTTCGAACGATCGCCAACCTTTTATTTTGTTCTTTCTTTCGTTTTATTATGCTGTTATTTAAGCGATTGATCTTGAGATTATCGTCGTATCTATCTTTGGCTCTGTATTTTTCCGTATGAACACTTTGCACAAATATGGCCAACTGAAGTATGTACGTATCGCTCAACGGATTATACAGCGTAGACGAGATGTGTGTTGAATACCTCTCTTCCATTCCATACCATACCATGTATTTCCAATGGAATTTCGTTCCAACGGAACGCAATTGGCAACCGTTTGGCCACACAGTTTTTTTTTCTTGTTTGGGTCTTGTTTTGGCAAACGAATGCGACGACGCTTGCGGTGTAGATTTATTTTCTCCACTGGAATCAAACGTGAGACAATCTGGAAATACTGCTGCTGCTTCGTTCAAAACGATCTTTATGAGAACGACAGCAATTTACCTCTCTCCCGCTCTCTGTCTCTCTCAATTGCGGGGGAATGCATGAAATCTCCGCCACACACAACCATCTCGCGCGAAATAACTGAGAGCTAAACCAAGATCACGATGTTGCGTCTTTTGAATTGTGTGTATGTGATTTTTCGTTTGATTGTTGTTGTTTGGTTTGCTTTGGTCGTGGACCGTGTGTCTACCTGTTGAACCGGTTCTGCTAATTATACGTATTACTGTCAGTATTTGTTCAACAAGGTGCTTCGAAATATATATGAAAAAAAAAGGTTCCACGAAACCAAATCGAAAGGAGTTAGTTGACCGACAGAAAATGCCAAAATAAACTGTGATTTGGTTTTTCATTTGAACAATAATTTTTGTTCAGATCAACAAAAATGCCAGCCACAATTTATAGGGTTGTAACTCACAGGCTAAAAGCATTTGCAATTGAACCATTGTATACACGCACATTTGCTAAATGGATTCCATTTTGCATGAGTCGCGAAATAGCGCAACAAAAATACTGTCCATTTCCGCCAATGCAAACAATGGCCTCAGTTTATGCCGCCACGAATGTATTGTGCCGCTCGTTGTGCCGGCATCGTCAGCGTTATCCATGAAACGGATTTAAAATTGGTGTGTCATTTTAGCCACAAATTGAACCGAAGATTTATATGTTAATTAAAAAAATTAGTGACAATTACGACTGGGCCGCGTCGAAACCTATTTCGAGTTGATTCATCAGCTGAACTTTTAAAATAGCAAGTGTTAATAATGGGCATTTGCGTTTCTTTTTTCTTCTCTCGTCTCGACTCGACATACTAAGTGCCATTAATTTGTCTACCCTGTGCGGTTCTTTCTCTCTCAATACTGTTCACTCTGAACAGAATGTGGAATGCTCTGTGTAATGAGAGCCAAAAAGGCAGCCAAAGTCAGACCGCAAACAAATGAATTGCATACTTTCACAGTAAATTACAGATATATGCATATATATGCACACGATAGACTGAAATGGCCATTATTTTTTTTTTCGCGACGGAAATGTGTCGATTCCATTAAATTTCAATTCAGTCAGCTGAAGCATGTGAAGTTTCGATGCGATATATTCGATTATTATTATCAAAAGTCGTTCAGACATCATACACATTCGCAATGTTGGAAAAAGTGAATGTAATGAGAAATCGTGATCTTGACGAGATGAGGAACGAACAGAAGAAAAAAAAATCACAGACCAGACTGGTATTTAAGCAAAAACAAAATCATAAATTGTTTGGCTGAAACAAAGAAAGCATGAAATGATCGGAAAAGCAAAAAAAATGCACCAAATTGAAACAGAAAAAAAAAACAAAAAAATGTGTGTACACTAATCTCTGCGTTATGTGTGGCGCATCGATAATCACGAAAATTCCGAACGGCAAATAACATGCTCTCGATGGACTCAAGTGTATTGCTGCTATCGTTGCAACTGTGTGTGTGCCGTTGGGCCATTCGTTGTATGTGCTTTCCTCATTTTCGTTCACATTGTCTGTCGAAGAGAATTTATATCGTATCGGTTCCGATTCTTCAGCTTGTTGAAAGACACTAACCAATTCTCATTCGCATACCATTCGTAAAAGGGAAAAACAAAACTATAATCCGAGCGAGAGTAGAGAAACAACAACAACAACAGCAGCAACAAACTATGAAGATCTAATTTTCGTTCCGTTTTCGTGCTCACTCTATTTTGTCGTTGTTTGTTTCTCTCACAGAAGAAAAAAAAAACTACTTCTTTCCAAACGATCAATATATATACATAAAATACATATATTCGATTGACGATCTCTTTCGATCTCTTAAACCAGGCAAATCATTCGATTTCACTCGCTATCGAAGTTCCAACTGCTGCTGCTGCTTTTGCCTGAACACGGCTGCTGCTGCTGCTGCTGGAGAACACACACACGTTTCTATTTCTCTCTTTCCACTGCCATTCGACAGAGAGTGCCGTTTGCTGAGTTTTGTTGCTATGTTTGGCGCTACACTGCTTTCGTAGTCGTCGTCGTCGTCTTCGTCGTTGTTGCTGGTTGTTGTTGTCGTCGTAAACGTTTTTTTTCTTCTTTGTGTGTGATAAAACTCAAGTTATAATATTTGATGATGTTTGTCTGTGCCTTCGCCGTCGCCGCCGCCGCCGCTTCTGTTGTCTGTTAACAAAACTCATTTAGTTGGTTTTTCGGATTTAGTTTGTCTTGGACCTTAAAACGTATCGCATACCGTGTTTAAGCAACTACACACACTCACTCAGAGCCACTCGATTGTGTTTGATTTTTCACCAGAAAACAAGAAGCGAAATAAAATTTACCCACAGCTCATTTTTCTTTTAACAAAATAAATTATTGTCGTGTAGACCACAGAAAAAAGTTGATCTTTTTTCATTGCCATCACACGAGAGGCAGCCGCGCAACAGTGAATAGAAACTATAAACCGAATTTTTGTTTTTGTGAATTTTGAACGAAAACAACACAAATAAAAAGGAATTATCATCACGAGAGTAACGCGTACAATCGAATGTACTAAAATAACAAAATACCCGTGAGTGCTCAATCAAGAACCATCGAAACGTAACATGAATTGAAACGTGCGTGCTACTATAAACGAACAACAAACATCATTTAATTTCATCCAATTAATTAGAGTTGGTTTAAGTGTGATCTAGGAAATCGTTAAACTCGACACTTTGTTGATGCTGTTGTGTTTGTGGCCAATTCTCTATCGCTCTCTGTCCTCCATCTCGTATTGCCTAGCCGAGCTGAATAACCAATGAAAGGAACAAACCACATTGTAATTGTGACTGGTGAAATTTTATAGTTGATCAACAATAATACTAATTAATGCGCAGCAACTATTAACACACAAAGCGGAATTATACACACATTCGACGGCCGAAAGAGAAAGAAAAACAACGAAACGGATACCAAATTAACCACACCAAAATTCAATTGGAATTTCTTCGACTTTTTTTTTCTCTTCGAGTACTTGAATTCCATTGCAATCGAAAAATAATAACAAATAGAAATTCGAGTGTGCGAATTGAAATCGAAAGCGCATCCGACGGTCGCAAAAGAGTGATGCGAAAAAATGTTTGGACATTCCACTGAATTGTGCATCGTGATATTGTTATTGATAACATTGAATTCACTGTGCGATGTTTATGGCAGTTTATCGGGTTTTTATATCGACAATGGCATCGATCAAACGGTCATGCATCGTGCATTAACGCAAGACGATGCCCAAGAAGTTGAACACGAGATACTCGAACTGTTGGGCTTACCGGAACGGCCAAGAAAAAAGCATAATATTCATCCATCGCTTCGGTAAGCATATATGAAAAATTGAAAAGTGTTTTTTATGCGTGCGTATGTGTGTGTGTGTGTGATGTGTGATAAGAACCAAAACAGCAACAGCAGAAGAAAAAAAATCAAAATAAAAATATGTCAATAGAGCAGGCAACAGTGTATACAATCACAACGAGAACATAAATACATGTGGCGAAGTGAGTGGATTAAAATGTGAAAATTATGCTAATCGAAAAGAATACATATATGCACGAAACGGCACACACCACACAAATGTCACACAAAATACGCATTAGCAAATCCAGCGCCATATTGTCTCTCGTCCGTCGATTGAACACATACTCTTTTTTTTTCGTGGATTTCCAGTTTTTTCCATAATAATAATAATTGATTGATCGAGCGGGGCCTTTAATAAAATAGCGAGAGAGAGAGAGAGAGAGAGAGAGAGAGAGAGAGAGAGAGAGAGAGGGAGAGAGAGAGAGAGAGGAGAATAAAAATGTGATCACATTGTGCACACACAAAATGCATATACAGGCACACGGTGTGTGTGTGTGCGCTCATCTCGTTCGAATTTTTCGTTTTGTTCCACTTCTTCTTCTTCTCTTGTGAATTTATCACCTTTCTGCTCATAAACTCACTTTAAATGGGAAACATGCAGGACCATTTTGCTCGGTAAATCATAATAAAACCACTAAAATGTAGTAATGTTTAATTGTTATTGCATTTTTGTGTAAAATAGTGCCTTTCTGTCTCTCTCTCTCTATCCTCTCGTCCGTCTAATGAATGTGCACAAGCAAATAAACAAATCAATCGCGCTAAATGTCGCAGCACCACGTTGAGAGTCGAGTGTGTTTTTTTGTGCTTGTTATTACTTGTGCGAACAATCTCTATCTCTCTCACTTACGCTCATTCAATGCTCTGCTCACAGTTTTGTTTTGGCCGTCTCTTTGTCTATATATCTCTCGCACTACACCTTTTTTTTATTATTATATTACATCGATCGTTTCAAGGCAAATATCTTTCAATAATCTGCTAATGTATGCAATGACAACAATTTATGTCAATAAAATGTGGCCAAACGAGCAAACTGCAATTGCTTAATACAATTATGCGTCGTATGTGATTTCCAGGAAATTTAGGCGATTGCACAGAGATCTGTTTAGTTTGTGTTCAAACACTTCTTTTTATTGCTGCACTTTTGGTTTTTCCATACTAGATTTTGAGTGAGAAATGATATTCAGATTGGGCTATGGATTATAAAATATTATATTTGGCATTCGAGACAGGTGTTGTGTTTTTCTTCTACCTCGTGTTTTCTTCTTATTATTCTAAATTCTTCGATACCTCAAAGCTCATTTCAAACTCTTCTCTTTCCAATTGATTTTATGTTCATTCCACCTTGAATAGGAAATCTGCACCGAAATTTTTGCTGGATGTTTACAAAAATTTGAATGAAGAAGCGAATGAAAATGTCTATGGCAGCCGTCATGCTCGGAGTACGGACTCGGATGAAGGTGAAAATTTCATTACCGATGTGGATAAGGTGGCCATCGAACAAAGTGACATTATTACGACATTTTTGAATAAAAGTTAGTTTTTACCGACACATTTGGCTTATGATGATTCAAATGAATTTAAAATGCGGATCACATCAGTGACTGTCGTGTTTTGTCTAAGTACCTTTGGTCATTTAACTCAAGTTTTGTTCTTTTATTTCACAGAAAATCACATAACCGAAGTGCGACATGAGCGTGGACGAAAATTATGGTTCGACATAAGTGAAGTATCAAAGGAGTCGACATTGATGATGGCCGAATTGCGAATCTTTCAAAATCCAGCACTGGGACGATGGCAGGATATTAACAAAGAATTCGTTATAACCGTATACTTTGTAACCGATACTGAAAAGTAAGAAACAAATAACAAAACCAAAAACACAATTATCAACATGTTGCTAACCGATTTAAACTTTCCGAAACAGTGACAAGGACATGCAAACCGTTGTGTCAACGAATACAACATCCGATTACCATGGTTGGCTCGAAATGAATGTTACGGATGCAATGACAAAATGGATTACGAATGGCGAGTGTAACAAGGGGCTGTATATCGGAGCATATGCGGTTAATCGGCCTGACCATGAGGTTAAATTGGATGAAATTGGTTTGGTAAACGCCAAGGGTGATGATGAATACCAACCGTTTATGATTGGTTACTTTAAGGGTCAGAATTTTGTGCGGCCCGTATTGCATAAGAATCGCTCAAAACGCAGTGCAATGCATCGTCGTCGCAAATCCGAAATGATGAATCCATTGCTCGAACCACGCATGAATGACCACACGAAAAGTTGTCAAATCCAACAGTTGTACGTGAGTTTTAAGGATTTAAAGTGGCAGGATTGGATCATTGCACCCGATGGCTATGGTGCATACTATTGCAGTGGCGAATGTAATTTCCCATTGACGGCTCACATGAATGCAACGAATCATGCTATCGTTCAAACGCTTGTGCATTTAATGCAGCCGGCCAAAGTGCCGAAACCTTGCTGTGCACCGACCAAATTGAGTCCGATTTCGGTGTTGTACTACTTGGACGAGACGAATGTCAATTTGAAAAAGTATAAAAATATGGTAGTCAAAAGTTGTGGATGCCATTGAGAGAAGCATTTACTTTTGATTGACTGATATTCCAAATCACACACACACATACCAGCACCAGCACCAACACCCAAACACAATAACATTTTTATTCCATGCAATAAAAGTGTTTATTGAAACCGAAATGACAGCATTTTGCTCGCCTTTTTCCCCTTTCGCTCATCGAATCGATTATATTTTTTTTTGTATATAGAACTTATTGACTCCACTCAATTGTCTAAGAAATTGAATATTCATCTAGATTATAAGTTTTTTCTCTCTTTCTCTTTCTCTATCTCTTTCGATAACAACATGAATAATTTTCTTTTGTTTTGGATGATATCGTCGATTTTGTGTCTAGCAAAATCGCATCGAATATCAAGATCACAAGCGAAAGCATTGATTCGATGGTGTTTTTTTTTTTCATTATTCTGACATTAATGTGCAAATTTTCAATTGAAATGAACGAAATTTGCAAATCGCATTGCATAGCTTAAGCAGTACACTTACAATTAGAATGACTCAATTAAATTATGTATTTTGTAGTTTTGCATCTGGCTATGTGTATGAAGAACATTTTTTTATATATAAATATCGAATAAAATTTATATTCAGAATTGCTGTAACGAATTAAACCAATCCCTTGTTTCAATTTCAATGCTGGTATTATCCACTATTCAGATTCACAGGAGATGGATTTATGTGCAATATAGTTGGAATTCAATTGCTAAGGAATGGGAAAAAAAATTGAATTCCAAAACGGCGATGAGCAATGAGTTTGTATAATATTGCGTTCCGGACCATCATCGTCGTCCACAGCGAACGCTTTCGACTTGGCAATATTTCCTTGAATTTACGATATATATGAAACATATTTGTATGAATTTTGGAAAATATTTCCTCAACTCAACTATTTCATTCTTGTCAATAGCATTTAAGTATATATATTCAAGCTTCAACCGCAATATGTACAATAACCGCATCACATACCATATACGAACAAATAAATCGAATAACGTTCATGCGGCCTTGAACATTATTTTTTTATAATTACCATCGCATTGATTCAGGATTGTTGATATTTTCATCGAATATGTTTTAAATTAATTAACGGACAAAAAATTAAAATTTTCAATAAAAGTGATAATTAAAATCGATTTTCAGTTTGCCAACGTTAATCCGGATTTGGCGGGAATGAAGTGAATTCATAGGAATGGTGATAATGGTTTTAAATAAATTTCAATGAACACAATCAATCATTGCTTTTGTTATGTGAAAATAAATTCGTTGTTTCAGTATCGAAACAGGCGGCCGTTTTTCAATCTGAATAGATTTTTTTTTAAAACCAAACTGATGCTATTTCATGTATTTGAATATTAACGACGAGGTATTATTTGTTAGTATTGTAATGCGGCATATATCGATTTTTCATACACATTTTTCCATCTACTCCAAAATAGCTGCAACATTTCATTAAAAAAAATTCAATTCTAACTTATCGAAATATTAGCATTTTTATTAATAATTTTATCGACTTTTTATTGAAAATAATAAAAAAAAACATCGAGAAAATTTAAAAATGCTGTGTTTCAAAATCGATCCCATATTCAGCCAATCGATTGCAATCTTTCGATGAACTCTTAAAATATACTGAACTACGAGTTCACTGTTTGGACAGATGGTTTTGTGCCCTAGATGAAATTCACTTACAGCGAGAAATAATACTCTAAAATTCGTACTGCATAAAAATAGCAAAACAGATGATTCTCCATTGGGATGTGCAGTTCAACAACGCGTCGTCATGCATAATACGAAACAACTGTTTATAAATGATTGCGATCACTTTATATGATGGATAACTGTTTTTTGTGCTTGACATTGACGTTCATGAAAGCAAAAATTCCAGTTGTTGTATTTTGTGGTGTGTATTGAATTATTTCGATGCTATTGTAGAACGTGAATTGAATTATTGAATTCATAGTGCAAAACTATTGCTATTGTTCTCCTACTGAGTTTCGAAATTTGGATAGAAAATTCTCCCGTTTTCTATTTGCAATTCATAAATTCCAGGTTGAAAAATGTATTGAAAAAAGTTCGATCAAAAATTCATTTTGTGAGAAGTGCGTCGTATTTTCCCATTGTAGCTCAACAGCAAGTATCCAATTCAGTCGTCACACGAATATCTGTTTTGCGTTAAATTTGCGACGGAATTGCATCACACTGTGAGTTAAACCTTCAACGCGTTCGAACGAGTTGAACGAAACATTTTAAGAAAAATTCTGTTGCCGATTTTGGAACGGATTTCATATCAATATTTAACCAGTGTCTAGAATGCGAAATTGAAATGACGGAATTAAAGTCATCGTATTTTTCTCTCTCATTTTTTCACGACAACCCAACAGAAGCAGATCAGCTAAATATATTCTTCCGCCGAAAATGCATCCTCTTAAATTCATCGTTGTGATTTTATTCGCTTTAATTCTGGTAAGTGTGTTTTTGTTGTTTATATTGAATATACCATTTCCAACTGCATAGCTATGTTATGTTTTAGTTGATGCAGAGAATCGAAAGCAAAGCTATGGCCTCACCTGGAGTATTGCGGGCATGGGACTTGTGGCTTGCAGATAATCCAGCGTATGGAGCAAATGACGAACCAAAAAATTGTGAACCAGTAAACGTCGAATAGATATACGAACGTAGCTCATTATTTATCCAATTCACGTTTAAAACAACCATTGTAATAATTAAGTGAACTGTTATCAATAAAGCTACTATCATCCAGTTGGTTGTTCATTTCGGTTTGATTTAATAGCCAAAAATGATGTAATCATCGTAATTACTAGAAAATTAAAGCCGCGTGACATTAATTAAATTCAAAATATTCAGTTTATGAATCACTATATCGATTCTAATGCTGGATGCGTGTACTTTTTTGTGTTAGAATTTTATTGAAATGTCCGCATTATGGTTTGGATTTTATCGACCACAAAATGAATACACTTGAATACACTGTGATTCATAGCCAATGGACTATTCATAAACTAACTAAGTGGCATATTACGGACCAATATTTAGTGGTTCAATCGCAAATTGAAAAATGGCTCTTTGCGTGTAGTTCAACGATCCATAAATATTCGGTAATATTAATTGCTTTGAAAACTATTTCGCAAATACAACATCAATTCATCTACATATTCAAAAGTTTAACATCAATAATTTGTTATGAAGTTTATATTAATTGGCTCATGTTTGTTTGTTTGCTTGTGATGATGCATTGATGGGGTGCATTGAATGTCTCCGGAAATTAGTTTGTAAATGACATGTATTCAGTAATATATTGATTCCATGAATCAGCCATTTCTGGATCGATGCAGATAATTTCTGTAATTTTCATTGAAAATGTTATCATGACCGAATGATTCAGAATTTAAAAAAAGTATCAGCTTTCGAAAGGTTCCAATCTTTTTCCAGTACTGAAACCATGGCATAACTTTGTCGTGTACGTGTATGTATCAGTCGATAATTGCAACAATCGTTTTTTTTCTTCGAGGTAATGACAGAGATAAATGCATAATTCTGAATATTTTGCGGGCGATACGACGCGCGACAGCATTCATCACAACACAATGCTATTCACACTGCTTATGCTAACGCTATCAATGGAGGTACGGTAATTTTTAGTTTTGTTTTTTTTCTTCTTTTTTGTGATTTAAAGATTTATTTTTAAAACTATTTTGACATTTATCATTCTTTCACATAATGGATAGGTTTCATTGGCTCCTGTTTGTGAACCACAAAGTCCCTTTCCGGCTGCACCTCAAACTCCTCAGCCACAGCAAACAAATGGACAACCACCGAATAACCCATTACTAAATCCGTCTCCGAATAATCCAAATACCGAACCACAAACAAACCCAGCCAACGGCATAAAATTGATTTTAATCATCTTTCCAGAACCACCATCTACCTCTGAATGTACATCTGAATCGAATTCTGATTGTGGCAGTTCTAGTACGGATTACTGTAGTGAATCAAGCTCAAGTTCTTCATGCTGATAGTTTCACTTTTCTGTTTTGATTAAACCGCAAATTTTGATGGTTGAACAAATAAATTCGACAAATCGTGCTGACGCACTGAGTTTTCTTGACTTTGTAAAATTATATTTTCATGAAATGCTCAACTCTTTAACTAATATTACTATTGGTATAACACTTGCTTCAATAGCCGTCGAATTGCATTCCTCGTTGATTTGGATCGATTCGTCACGTAAAATTCTATCAACACAATTCACATTTGAACCCGTGAGCATAAAAAGAACGTATTGACTCTTCGCCGATGAATACGAAACGCAAAAAAATCGCC